GGAGAAGGTTGAAGACAGTCATAGGAACACTCACCTCAGTCAGCATGAGCGTAACATTGTCCCTAGGCGCTGAGTCGAAGGCTGCCTTAAAGTCGACAAACACCATGTATAGTGTTATTTTGCCGCGTGGCCAGTGCCCTCTTAACGCGAGCCATCTGTATGCTATACGTCGCTTCTGTGGAGCATTTGCTCCGGAACCAACGGTGCCCGCTTTCTAAATAACTGCCTAATCTCTTAATCACCAAGCTGGAGAACAACTTATAATAAACATTTTTTCGCTATTCCTCACTGTGAATGCGACACGCTTGGGTGATCCCTTCCTTTGGGAACAACTAACCGATTAGCACACTCCACTAGGCTGGGAGTGCACTAATAGGTAAACATATATTAAATACTACACGAAGCCAGAGCGACGGCGCATCTAGGATGTCCGTTGCAGATCCTATGTAGAATTCATAAGGGCTTGCATTAGCTCCCGCATTATGAGGTCTTGACGAAAAAAACTGAGTCATACTGAGATGGCCCACCCTTCTTACGTTACGACGAAAAGGGCACTGAGCGTAGTATCGCGTACTTTGACGTAAGGAAATGATTTATGATAGAACATAATGAATACTCTTTAAGAACTAGTTGTGCTTTTCTAAACATAGGTTACAAATCCGAGGGGAATTTTTTATCAAGTGTTTTAAAGCATATCCTTGATCTTCAATATGCGACAAAGAGAGCAATCAATTAATGATCCTTTTTTAATATAGACTCCTTATTTCTATTCATTACGCATCCAAACGGATCCTATACGATATCAATCATATATTAGTTCGAAACTAGACACAGGAGGCCATTTTCAAACTACGTATCCTTATATTACGTAATAATTTGATTATTTCAAGGGTATCGACCTACATATTTTTAAACTTAATGTATCTTTACTAGATACGAGCTACTCGACGTTCTAAACCCACTTTTTCTAAAAGATGTTTTCCTGTCTCGTTCTCTAATTTGGTTTCCCCAAAACAGCAAGGGAAATTGCTGTAGTAAAACACATTGTAGTTTCTGCTGCTATGTGTTTTTAATATTGACGATTTTCGAGTAGTCGATAATTACGCCGTAACAAAATTAATTTCCTACATTTATCAAAAAATAAAATTGATTTCAGATATTTCTGCAAGTATGGGAGAAATCCTTATTTAGCTAGATAATTGTCAAAAAATTATATTATTATTCGATTGATTACAGTTGTCAGGTATATAAAATTTTGTTGCGCTAACGCACGCTCTGGAGTTATCGTATTAACAGAAGGGAAACTGAAATAGGCAGATTATTAACAGACAAATGTGAAGTTTCTTTTCAAAATGCTGTGATTGTGAAAGTGGGTATTATATATATATAACCTTGAAGCTAGTGCAGAACTATAATCATAGCCCTTGGCCGCTCTAGCTTATAGGTCGACTACATACAATTTTTCTTCAGTGTTTCGCCGGAGATATTCTTCAGGAACTACGTAATTCAATGTAGTGATCAATCGCTTAGATAATTGCCTTTGTTTGTAATATTCTCTCTAGATTTGTCTTGTTTATCATAGTGATCGCGCGCACTGATGGATTTGTTTTATAGTGCCTTCGCTTTTTCAAAGGAAAGTGCGGTGGCATAGCGTTTCTTTCGGTAACGGCTAGCACATTATTTTACATAAAGAACTTCAATTTGTGGAACGGATAATGCACATTGATCAAACTGATGCAAGACAATCTTGCAGAGACCGTCTCAGTTCAGCCTAAACATCTTCTGTTAACTTATGCAGCAGGTAGGTAAACCTACCGAATAAAAATATTTTATATATAACAATATTTTTTGTGGTACACGATCGCAACGAGTTATAAAACGAGACAATCGGGCGGTCGATTTGATTTAAAACGGCGAATCCGCTTAGGATGAAATTAGAAGATCGGGAGTAGAATTGTTCTGATGCGTCATAGATGCGGTATCTGAAGTCTAAGATCTTGAACATTAGGATTAGCGAGATTTTTTGGAGCGATCTGGTCTCAGACATGGAGTTACAGATTTAGGACTAACCGTAAACCTGACGAAGATGGAGGCATGAGAGGCACAACAGAAACCACTGACACCTTATAGATTGTCAGATTGCCTTTCGTTTAGATGAACCATTTCCGTACTTGGAGTGGCTCTTCTTTGCGAACAACAGCAATTTCAATGCACACGTTACCGAAAGGTGTAGAAAGGCAGTGTTAATGGCATGGGCGATCGAATCATTTCGTCGCTTGTTCTTTGGAGCTGCTCTGAAATTGTTTGGCTTCAAGCTAGCTCCGATCGCGGCCTACGGGATAAGTGCTCTTTGGGAAGATATTACAGTGGAGATCCTCGAGCAAATAAATCGCATCAAAGCCTCCTTTCCCAAAAACGTACTGGGATCACACGTAATGATCCGATATCGCCTCGCGTATTTTCGGGCCGACCCACCACTGCTGTCTAAAGACCCCGCCCTCGCTTTGAGCTCTCAGCAACGTAAGCTCTCAAAATTAACTTTGGGATCTGAGAGCTAAGCTTCGAGGAGATCGATGGCCTCGAAGAGGAATGTCAAGTACAATGGGACGAATTGACTACCTATGGTGTGGATCCTACCATAAACTCTAGACGAACTTGCCGATAGAGGTCGACCCCCCATATGGGGAATAAATTGTCATAAATATCATGCCACTCGTTGACCTTTGGAAGCATCTTCAAAACATCTAGCGAATTTTTAAACTAGTTTTATAAACTCAACAAGACTAGTATAACCCATATGGCGTAAAATGTTCCATGTGCCCTCTTTAACATTAGTGTATTGTATTGTTGGCTTGTGTATATGGAGTTTGTGGCTACTAGCAGCAAAAATGGATTCACATTTGCCGGTAGTAGTCAAAGACTTCATATAAAGCCTTAAAATAAAATTTCATTGACTTTTATTATTATAGTATTAGCAAACTGCAATCAAGCTGTACTCATATACAAACTTTTCGACCGCATAGAATCCATACTTTTCCTGAGCCGAGTGACCAATGTAATCATCGGGATGGAGGAACATGTATTTTTTTTTATTGTCAGGGGTGTCGTTCCGACATAACAAAATTATCTTCAAATCTGTATTTTCTCATAACCAAATAAGTTTAAATGTTGTTTTTTAATTGTGATAGGTGTCATTCTTTAACTTTAACCCTTTGCAATCTAAGCGCGTTCATTCGTGTATTTGAACTGCAAACAGAACCCGCATCAGACTATAATACCTTTGTATTGCGGCGTATCGCGAAACGTAGAGATCTAGTAATTGTTCTCCTAACCGATTTACTTAATTGACAGTACTTGAAGCATTTTCCAAATCCGCAAGGCGTAATATCATAGTGTCCTTCATTTAACTTGATAATATATAATTGCATAATATAATTGACGTACGGCAGAGATGAGTTTACCGCAAATATTGAGATCACTGCTAGTTATAAACTTGTGTTGTAGATAACTTACGCCTGGCACTAAAATGTTATTTTATTAATATACATATTTGGTGATAAACAATTATATCAAGCCAGGTGAATACAGTTTTAGTTATTTTTCAAGCCATTTATTGAGAATCTGTACTATAAATGTATGATACAAACATAACGTCACATCGATTTAGAGAAAAGGATGCGAACAGTAACATACTCTTATGATATGATTAATAATAATAGAAGACAGTATTGAAACATTGTTCTTAAAAGAACTCCGTGCATAATTTTTTTGCAACACGAAAACATCTGCAGGATTTAGCCTTGTCCTGTGGCCTGCAATAAATGGTAAATAGGGTTACATGCATAATTGTCTCACCTGTCAAAAAAGGCAGTGAGAGAACTTGGTTTCCAATTATTGCAAAACAAATCCTGTTACTTTCTTGGTAGGCGCAATTAAGGATTCTTTAAGATACTCAGCTCGATGCTTAATCCACGACTTACATATTAGCCTATTTCATTCAAAATTGCGTGTCTGTAGACTGCCGTATTCCGAAAGTACCTTTTATATTTAGCTAGCGGTACAAATTTAGAAAGCAAGTATTGTGCACACTTCTCAAACAAATACAACTATCGGTTTAGTAAAGTCAGTAACAGATATTTTAAGCTAACTCATTTAGTGTTCGAAATCAATGGCTAAGTGATAAATCTCTGTTTTTGAAGCCATCCTATTGCTAGAATATATTGAAAATTAATTTAGTTATTAAGCTTATCTGTCTTAGTCAATATCTACATATTTAGGGATGCTAGAAATTAAGGTACAAAGGTTGCAGCTCTGTGTCCCTTTTAATTCGAAACAGAAGCTTGTCGTTGGCTGCGACCATCTGTTTTTGCGCTTAGTCTAACTATTAAATCATTCATACAAGAATTATCTCCCTACTTTCTGCTCCAGGGTCTCTCGACTTCATGATGGGTACCATAAGAAGCTTCATCTAAAACGTGTATTTGGTGCCACGCTAATCCATTGAATTCAATTCTTATGTTGGTATATGTAGCTTAAAAACGACTTGGCTTACATAGATTCTTCGAAGTAATATCAAACTATATCCCGAACCTTATGAAAGGCTCCAGGGTCTAGTGCGTAAGAGTCCCACGGTACCAGGCAAAGAACAAAGCTACGAAGCCTGGTCTGCATAATGCATTTGCCCTCAGCCTCCAAAAAAAAAAAAGGATTCTTGACCTAGTGCGAGCACTGGGTGGCACTGCGAAGAATTCGGAATTAACCATATATTGACGCACCCAACAGTCACAAGTTTCAAAAGCCAGGTAGCCTAGCTTTACCTGCACAAGGTACTTCACATTCTAGGATGATTCCCTGATATTTATTCAACGCATCTAATTAATATCTTTTTTTTTTTGCGTAAACATTTATAGATTTCCTTCGTGTCTTCGAGCGCTTGAATAGTATTCAGCCGTACAACTACAAACGTAGGAACCGTTTTAATAGATAAACATTAAACTTACCCTACATCTCCATATTTGCCACAGCCGACTCAAACCGATGTTGGGCTACGCCTCGAAGAAGTCTTTGAACAAGCTTAAGTGGGCGTTTATGCGACCTGTCGTGAAAGCCCGCAACTGTTTCCGATGCCCTAGCCTATGCCCAGACTTCGAGTAGTTAAAAAATCGCGGTTCTGGACACAACGTGATTTCCTTCATACTTTCTATCAAATGCTTAGACTGGGCTGCCATCTTGAAGCTGGACCGATCACTTTGTTCATCATCGTGTTGATTTGTTTCTAGGCAATTTGGCTTTGACAAGGCGCATTGCTCTCACAGCTACCACTCTAGGTATTACACATTGTTACTAGCTTAAATACTGTAATTACGCAATGATGCATTTTTATATTCTATATATTACTGTTAAGAGGTGATATATAAGTATTTAAAAAAATTGGCAACATATATTCGTGTCGACGTTGCCTCTTTGTATGTTTTTTATATTTGCGTATAACTTCGATAAGCATATGATTTCGACTATAAGATTATTATGGCTTTGATGATAACTTCTATTCGGGACCTAAAATCCTATTCAGATCATTTTCAAAAATTCCTTTTGAAAATTTGCGGATGAATTTTTATTAGCAAACATAACGAGTAAAGCGATGTTAATAAATGTAAGTTAACTAACATTTTTGGCCTATTAGTTGAAGAAGTCCCGAAGATCCTACAATATAAAGTGACAGTGAATGAAACCGCTTTCTTTCTTGGCTTCAGTGATCCCTTAATCCTTCCATCTCATCTCCATTTTGTATTTTTCGCTTTGCTGCTTTCTCTTCTTCGTATTTTTCGAATGTAGCCAAGTGAAAAATTTATAATCTCGGCGGGGTTAATTCGACTCGAAAACACTGGACAAAAGATGATCGCTAATGAATACGAATTTGTATCGGTCATGACGAGTTTGTAGTTTTGTTTCTATAAAGAACTGGTTTTATCTGATACAACGAATAAAGGGTGAACGCATGACGGCTATAACGAATATTTTACGGTAGTAGTAAATTTCTCGTAGTAGCGTAGGAAAATAAAAGCAGGCTTACAGTTGAAAAGGAAGATATAGTAGGTGTGTTAAGAGACGTTTATATACAAAACCATATGCTTAAAGTTGCTATTAATTTTATAGAACATGTTTATTGTTTTATAACGATGGCCTCACAGCCCTGTCTACTTGATCACGAAAAGGCTCGAAGATACCACCTCTGCCTTTTTTTAATTTTCTCGTAACTCTCAGGCTTACCTTCATGTATAGTTTCTTGTCTCTATTATTTTTCCCCATGCATCTGCCATGCACGTTCATAATGCTGGATTTGGGTCTATATACACAGCCTTTGTTCTCACAAACACACAAAAAAGCTCTTAGATACTATAGTATATACACTAGTGTAGTATGTGCGGTAGTATAAATACCTCTTTACTCTAGAAAAAAAAATGCGGAAAGATTTTTACCAAACACAGCTATGATCTTTTTTAAAAATACGAATAGATCGAATCTAGTGAAGAGGTCGGCGCATGCTCCACGTTTTCATGTGCGTCGCAAAAGTACTTATGCAAATGCATTCATCCGGTGAAGGTCAGCTGTTGGATGCTTTATCCTCAAGGCCGACATTAGATGCTACACGATAATATGCGTAAATAGACGTGCTACGTTTAGATCAGTGTTTTACTACATGATGGTATACTTATATTAACTATTTTGTAAACGACCGTAAGCTCGGTACTATGTACAAACGATTTAATAAATGGTGTGACATGCACAAAGTTCGGTTGTCGATATATTTGCAACGAATGTTGTTAAAACATGGTGAAGTTCGCCTATAAAAACGACTCACTCTTAAGTGGCGCAGATGTCCGAGTTCATACCACGGTAACAGTAGATCTCACTGCTCAAGTTGCGCCTACCCGGACTGCTAAACGCAAGGTTGTGTCACGATGCCTATCATTTATGTAACAAACTCTTTGAACGCGTCCACAAAGCTCTCGTGATACCTGGTGTAATTAACGCTAAAGTCTTCTCAGACCGATTGGTTCCCTGGGAAGGCACAAATCGTACTTGATTGCACAGAGCATTTAGATAAGATTCAGGTTTTTAGCTGACATACAACCTATGTTTTCAACGTTAGCGTTCATTTTCGAAGAGGCTTATTGAAAAACGTACGTGTTGCACGGGCAAAGGTATCTTGGAAAAAAAACAGAAGCTGAAGGCCCGCCTAATCACCGATGCACTGCATCAGCCATACAAGGTAACACACCACGGCAGTCTGGTTTCTTGCCCTTATTAATGCCTCGATCCTCATCAGTTGTTTCTTAGGATATGTTCGCATTATGGAATACGATACTTCGTCCGGTGCAAATTTTCTCCGTGTCGTCGGCGAAGCAATTTTAATTCAACCTGATCTCGTTCTGCACAAGTTCGCAGAATGGAAACTTACGCCAGATCAGGAGAACTTAGTGAGAAAGCTGCTGATCCACTAAGGGCTTGAAACGAGTATCCGAAGAGCACTTTCATCCTCACACTGTGCTGGGCGGGACTATTCAATGAATGCTTATGCACACACAAAACCCAACGGACAGATGTCATTCAACTAAAACTATCCAAGGATAAGATAGATTCGCCGTACATGGTGCTTGTAGATTTCACGATAGTTTTCAATTCGGCTCCAGAAAAACGGCTATGCTTGTCAGTGTCCCTATAAATGTTCTCAATCTTCTTGTAGCAATTTTAGAAGAGAATACGGTAGCCATCGACGACGTAGTGGCCGAACTCCGACTTAATTACAGGCGACTGCTCTGGTTTTAAACGAAAATTTGAACCCACTCCTGTCCTTCATTATCACTAAAAGACATCCCTAATCAAATAAAAAAAAAACATCAAAAAACCGACAAAGTCATCCTGTATGCAGTCGGCTTACTGGTTCCCGGGTCTAGTTGATACCAGGCACAGCAAGCTATCGCCCGACTGGAAGCAGTAGTTACAGAATTGGAACTGTAAACTGGACCAAAATGGAGATAATGAAATTCAGATGTGGTAACTGAAAAGTCACTTATACCTTGTAACCGGTTTCCATACTTGGTATTGCTATTCTTCGCTAAAGATACCATCTACATCTCTGAGCTATTTAAGAATGCTCTTGCAGCGGCACGATAGATTAAATCGCCTTACCATTTTCCTTCTACAGCCGCTCTTGGTTTGTTTGGTCTCAAAATAGTCTTCGATGTCAACATATAGAATATGGGTCACTTATTAGGATTTGAAGGCAAAACAGATCACATCAGAACCTTTTTCCTCAAGAAAGCGCTGTCCGACTTTTCAATACTTGCGTCATCACTTCGCACCCCCAACCCAAACTAAATAGTTAGCATTTTACGTTCCGTACCCCTATCAGACGCTCCATCAGATGGCTGGCCTCATCACGAACCCAAACATGCCTAAGCAATAGTTCAACTCCAGGCCAGCATGTGTCCCTCAAGTTTAGGTTCCACAATTAAAACTTGGGAACGAAAAGTAAACGAACTTGGAGACTTTTTTGACTAATTTTGCGATAAGGAACAGCCAGTGGAAAGAGCAAATTGGTTAAGTCGACACCTTATGATCCGCATGCCGTGTAAGGGTTTTATAGACATAGGCTTAATGCGGAGCAAGACTTCCTCAGGTAGCAGGTGCACACGCCCAGATGGTGAAAACCGTTGCAAATATCACGCCGTTCGTTTTCCCCCGAGTGTCGTTATTGAGATGCAAAGTGCTCAGATCAAAGTATATAAACCGAACTATGCACAATGTATATGATATCAAATGTTCTTGTGTTTACTTTGATTTTGCGTTACCTGTGTATCTGAAGAATTTGAATCCGACCAGCAACGGTGAACCAATGAAACTTAATTCTGCTTGCTTTCACACATTTGTCGTATGTTATTTCTATATTATGAGTCGAAAGCCCAAAAATGAATCCAACGATACGAAACGCAAACTATATTATTGTAGCCATTACTACACGCAAGTACCACTACCCATCAAGTCCTTCACCTTTATTAATTTCTATACGACTTCAATATCTAGTATAAGAGACTTCGGTGTATATTTTCCATGCCTCCAGCACACACTAGATCTATAAAACATCAATCTATATGAACCAATGAACAAAATTTTTTTCATCGTAAGGATATATAACAAAGTTGTACGATTGTAGAGACCGAAAACGGCTCACGGGTTGCAAACCGAAAAAAAAATGGCTCGAATAATCGAGTATATATTATATTGTGCGAAACTATTTGATAAGTTGAGAGACCTGAAGAATTTTACTTTTGTTTATATATAATAAATGAGCCCTCTCTATTTTTCGTACGTTAAAGCATGTGTTCCGGGGGCACCTCAACAACTGTGTACTTGTGATTCGCATTACCATACTATATCTCATTATAGATGGCTCGTTTAACAAAATCGACCGTAGGATAGGCTACGTCAGCTATCCTATAGGGAATCCGAGATATTAAACAGCAGTAATTGTTTTCTTTTCGGACAATATCTCATAATAATAACAATAATAATATATGCCCCTTATATTTATTATAAGCATGAGCATTGACCTGCGCTTGATTTTATTCGGCACTTCTTGTTTAAAAAAGTGGCACAGTTTTATCGCTTGATCATTTTCCGATGCGTGTATATGTCTTAACTACAACAGCGGTGTGTTTCAGCATGTATTTTTTGCCGGTAATTACTTACAAATTTATCATTTGAGTTACATGCTTCAATTAGTACGCATATTTAACCGGCATGAAGTACATTACTTAATTATACCATATTTGAATCAGAGCCTTTTATTCTCATTCGCAAGCTATACTTAGCTCATTTTTGACCTTCCACCTCCCAACTTCGGTTCCTAAAATGATTTCAGCAGTAATGAACACTAGTTTCGTTGGACACCTTTTTTCCAAGATATTCACCAACTTTCGGTGACTCCTCATCTTTAAGAAATAGGTTGATTTTCAGCACCAAGCTATATGTTTGGCTCCAAGCTCATTATTTTTGACGGCATTCAATTACTTTATGGTCATAGATCGCTGATGATTTCATTCAAACGTCTCAATCCACTATATATATATATATATACGTATTCCTTATCCTTTGTTTCTAAGACTGCATCCAAAACGAAAATGGATATTTCAACAATATTTTTTTACATACGCAAAAAGTATTGTTCCTCAAAGTCGTACTTGCTTCAACATAATTACCATCCGCCGCCATCGTAGATTTAATTCGAGACTGAAACTATTATTCGGTCATTTTTAAAATATCTTTTCTATAATCCATAAGTAACTTTCTGACGCTAACCTTACTCTAAACGATATTAGAGCACAAATTTGCCAGGGTATCCCCTAAAAAGAGCGTTTTTAGTATTGACTGGCATTGGTCCAGCTCGAAAAGACTGGATAGTAGCTCATCTTGGTTTAAATTCCAAAAGTAAGACACTCTTGTTTTCCATGACAAGTTTGTTCTTGTGTTCTAAAAAGAGCAAGCTTCCGCCTGGTACCAGAAGTAGCAGAGAGACGCATGCGGGTTACGACAAGCAGCCACCAAAGTCTTTTCCAAATTGAATGTACTGCCTTATATATATATATATATATATATATATATATATATATATATATATATATATATATATCTATATACTAAGCCCATTTATTGAAAATGAATGGAATTTGTTCGAAACCAATATATATTTTTATAATCGTCCCAATTCAAATCGTGCTCTTTGAAGTGATCCCCGCAGGATTTCTTTCAGCCACCGTTCTTTTTATTCTTCGGAAAAAATTTCATATTCAAGCTCTAGGGTTACCGTCTCAGCCCGGTCAGCATTTTTTTCACAATTTCTTCTATCGCTTCGAAACGGTCCCTCTTCAAATTGTTCGGTATTTTAAGAATAGGAAATAATCCCTTAAATACAGGGGCTGGGGCGACATACACATCGAGTATTTTTGCAAAAACTGCTGTTCAAGTAATGAAATGTGGGTTGGTGCATTGTCATGATGGAAAGTCCAGATTTTGTTGTATTACACTTGGTTTCTTGCGTTAGACAGACTCGCGCAGCCATCTTCAAACTTCGTGATAGAATTTTTTGATGAAAGCATGCATTTATAATGCATGATTCCCCGATAATCGAAAAACCTTGAGCAGCATCTTGGATTCGGACCTAAGTCGGGCGACTTTATTCGAGTTCGTCCTTGAAGCAATACTTGAAGGACTGCATTTTGTTCTGCTCTTTGTAGCCGTGCACCCACGTCTGGTTACGCGCAATGATATCTACAGGCGAGCTTGCTTTTTGTGGAAATATCATAAGGTTCTTCCAACACAGTTTTTTATGGACTTTCGTCTGCTGGGTATCTAACTTTTCGGTACAGCCTTTGCTGTAAGCCTTCCTACGCCTAAGCGACTAGCCTAACTGGCCTGAAATAAATTAATTGGGACCTTTCTCTTTTATCGATCATCACTTTTCTGGTGATTCAATGGTGTGCAAGCATGAGTTGTTTTGCTCTTTTTATGTTCTTATCCATGATCCTGGCCACAGGACTTTCGAAACGAGTATAATTTTTGATATGCGGTTTTGTCCTTCTTCGAAACGATTGAACCTCTTTTTACTTGAGCTTTATTTAGTGTCTCGTTTTCATAAGCGTTCTTCAACATTCTTAGAGTGCCTGTGAAGCTATTTTTTTTTCATACAAAGCCAAATGCGCGGCCGTTGCTCTATGCGGGAAAAACTAGACGCAGAACGTTCGGACAAAGCCTCGGATAACTTTACTGGAACACTCAAAATTGTATCAGGTTGCTGTGAAATTTAAACTTTAAGTAATAAAAGTCCCTCTTGTTGCTAGAACAAATGTGGATCACAAGCGATCTTTCGGTAGCTCGCAAATTCAAACAATTCATTTCTGAACAAACCGTACTGTATATATGTACATATAAAGAGTGAGTAAACAAACAGTAAAGCTTCGGGAAAAACGGATGCAGTTGCACTGTTATTACATCTAATTGTCATGTCATCATTGAGGCACAACAATACTTAATATTTCAATACTTTACGGGACATTAATAGCAGCTTTATTTGAATCAAATAATACTTTGCAATCCTTATATGGAGCATAAGTCGACAAGGACATATGACATAGTATCTTCTCAAAGTTATACATATATATAAAGGTAAAAGTATAAAAGCTATAAAAGGTTTGTTATTAAACTCCTATATCAGAAAAAATCTGTAATTGCCATCTTCTGACGAAAATCTAGTTGTTACGTCGGACGTATATATTTTTCCTTCATTTTTTAATATTTTTACACAAAAAAACTGTGGTGTTTTTAAGTCAATCATTTTGTTTAAAAACGTACGACATATACATGGACTATTAGATTTGGCTCATATAACATACATCGGAAATGATATGATCACATAGAAAAATGTGCTTTTAAGTACTGTCACTTTTATTTAAGTTAACAGAAATAGCTTGTATAGATTCCATTGGTGTACTGTCAAATTTTGCATCGAAAAATGAGCCATTTTCAACCGTAAGACCGCAATAATTCTACGTTGTGCCGTAGGCCATTTGAAAAACGGGACGAGTACTCTTCGCGGATGTTTCGCGTGTGAGACGTTTGTACGCATAGTACTTTTTTGATCTCCGGAATGACGGTATAGTTAATCTTCTTTGATAAAGCTTACCTAGACGAACTGCGTTACATTTTAGCGTCACATGTTCTATTTTCTCTGGCTCTATCCCACAGTTTACATATTAGACCTGCATACTAAAGTCAGAATGCATACAGAATTATGTGGTGTGCAGTATTTTCACGTGTATTGCGCAGACAATAAAATCCTGTTACTGCAAGTGCACAATGTACTCATTGTTGGCTCTTTATTATTGCTATACCATGCAAGACTTGTTTTTTCATCACATTATCTGATTAACAATCTAGAGCGGTTTTTCACACTGGTTCTAGACGGCTCTTCAGCGATCAATATCAACAGTCCTCTTCAATTGTTCAAAAATATACCGAAATGTTGAAGTATGTTTATATTTATGCCGGGCGCAGGCCGCCTCTGTGATGGTTCGGTTAATGGTAGTCCTATAGCCTATAGACATAGAATTCAGCTAATTCTCCGTTCCTCCTGTGTCTATTTGCTTACTAGCACACTACATCAAAAGTCCGTTAATTATTCGCCTATTACTGCTCTATATATGGAAAAGGCGCTTGTTCCATGTTGTTACTTCTTGCAATAAGTTTTCCTTGTTTCGTTGTTTCGATCTCTTACCGCTGGTATAAACCAATGCGGTATATTGCACGAGATTTGGTAGGCCTACGTGGTTTCCCGAGTCAATGCGGGCTGTTAAGGACGAAATAGCAACTTTTCTAATTATATCCAATCAGTCAATGAGCATCTATCGTTCATATATATATTTATATATCAGACAGGTCCAAGAGAAAAAAAATTCTATAGCACGGGCAATATAGGCATTCGGCTTCACTGCTTTGACCTGAAAGTGCCACCATAACAATCGACTGTCAATATATTCGCGTATGCTGCGAACCATGAAAATTAAAAACGAAGTTAATCTCATGCCTAGGTTATCTTCGTGTATCAAAACAAGTACTTAAAATGGCGACTATTGATCACGTCACATTCCTAATATTGACGGGAAAAGTGGTATGTGTTTTTTTTTGGTTATGAAGATTACTAAGGAACGAATCTTTTTAGATAAGCTATGGATTTGTCCTAAACCTTGCTGGGTCGAGTGTCGCCATTTGACATAGCGAGCCTTCCTAGCCTGATCGAGACCCTGATGTTTGCACAACAGCATCAAAATCTGTTACAGCATTTTTATTTATTATTTTAACTGTTTAGTTTTATGAGGTCAGTCTTGGACCCGGTACCTTCAAAAATGTGTACAAGTTACAGTCAAGGCTTGCTATTTCAGGCCCATATTGTGACATTAATAGAAAGCATAGCCAGTAAGTTACGTACCCCCTCAATGTTTGCCAAAATACTAACTTTATTGAAAAAAATTATACGTCTTTGTTGTTTTATCATTTAACTAGAAACTGCGGAATCTTTACACCTTCATACAATCGCATTGCATCATGACATATTTTTCATAAATTTCAGCTTTCAGCGGTAAAATTGGAATCGGCGCTATACGGTACCATTGTAAAAACCATGCTCCGTTTTTCCTGAAGCACCGTGTAATGAGGCAACGTGAACTTATTATTAGGCATTAACAGCCATCCTAATCAAGCAGCAGTCATGGTCAGTGGTATCAGTCGTAAGTATCTAACATGATCAAATTCTGCGTACGAAAGCAACCACAATACCAGCCTGACATGAATTAGTCGAGGAAGAAGAGCTTAAAAATCTATTGGTCTTCATTGTTTGTTCTTTATAAGCATATATCCATGATAGGGGCATTATCACCGAACTTATACAGTATAAGTTCGGTTATACTATAACCGAACTTCAAATAACTGCGAAATGAAACTAATTGTTTCTAACTTCTAAGGTTGATTGCATTCACTTTTCCTTCAGCACTTGGAACGGCGAAGTTTTTTTGCATATTCTTGATTCAAAAATGAATATACTGTTTGACTTATTTGCATCTTAAGCCATACGCATTTTCACTATTAATCTTGTACTTTCCGAAAAAGTATAGTTTATATTGGGAATTGCGCTAACTCCAGAATATGTAAGTGATCTTTAGTAGATGCCCATACAAGCTACGATGCCTATGCTTTATCGTATTATTAGCGATATACTGTTACCGATATTTTTCCAACGCAAACCAACGGAGCTCCTGTAGCTTTTTAAATATCTGGTTATAAATTTGAGTTTTGTAATACTAGCCCAGCTTTGTACCGCTTAACTGGAAGCTCTTGCAGCGTCTAGAAAAACTCTCGCACGAAGTCCTACCAGTTTAGAAAAATTGCGCTGCACTTATTCGTAACAAATTCTCAGTGATTCTTCAGCTACCAATTCTTGATCTGTTTGCCATTATGGATCTACATAAATATCCCAACGTGTGCACATACGACAACATTTTAAACACAAACGAAGCCTCGAGGTATTTTAAGGTACAGCTAAATAATTATGGTCGAACAGAATCATCGGTCCCAGCAGCTGCAACAAGCGTACTCAGACATTCAAAATGTTAGGCGGACAGAAATTTTAATGCTAACGCTATTAAATGTATCAGCTGGTTATAAATGATTCGTGTGATTTTGTTGGCGTAATTAGGTAGTATTTCTGACAATGATGTGTACAAATCGTCTGTATGAAACTGGTGTGTAGGGCAATATTTATTTAAATATAAGATAAATAAATATCTTATATTTAATATATATCTAATATTTATTTCTTTTCTTTTATCAGCCATTTTGTTTGGCAGGGTTAAAGACGAATGAGGCATTGACACTGATAACATGAAAAGTTCGTGCAATAGAGAGAACAAACCAATGAAGGAAGTCACAGTAGACGGATTGGAGTGCCAAACAAAATTCAGTACCAGTCAGCCATAGAAGGGTAGATATAATGGTGTACAGCAGAAACTGGCGTAACTGAAATGAGTACGCTGACAGCCTGATTCGAGCCTCTAGTGTGACTCTGTGATTCGATCTTATTGGCAACCGAGCTACATGAGGTGTTTCCTCATATGTGGAATAACAAACTCGTAAGTGACGAGTATGGAATGAAAGCCTTGCCCTAAAAGGACAGGAGGTTTCGTTTTGTTGAACGAAAGGGGGCAAGCAAAGTGATTTGACGACAAAGATTTTATCGAATCAGTATGAATTAGTTTTCAGCTGGTCAACTCATGGCGAGAGAAACCATTCGAGCCTTAAGTTAAACAACAAAACTGCAGGTCAGATACTTGCTGCCGGTCAGGCTTCACCTATCCAACAGGATTGCTTGAGAAACTAACTCTATGTAAATGTAGTATGCATGTGGGTAAAAGAATATGGCACTGTAATAAGTAATATGAAGAATATGGTAAAAGAATATGGCACTGTAAGTAGGTAAAACCTAATGCGTACCACGGACATCACACATGATGTCCCTGGAGAATACAGTCTCATTATGGTCTTTGAAGCGTCCCAAAAAAAAGGCTCTGATTGACGTATTTAAAGAAAAAAACGGCCACAGAGGGGTGATGCGGTGGTTCGTCAAACCTACTAACTTCTTATATTGCAAGTTGCTCCTCGCAAAAAAGTTTGGCCTTACTGTCGTGTTAAAATAAGTTTTTTATTTCAGATTGTCATCTGAAGCTTGTTAATAGCATGGCTTTAAAATGGAAAAATAAATCGCGTATCACATATCTACTATTAGCGAATTAGTAACTGTGGCTCAAACAAGTCTCGCACGTCCCAGCAAAAAGTAATCAGCTTGTTTTTAATTGTAGTGGGTAAGATTAACTCGGTGACAATCCAACTCATAATTTTTCAGTATTTGGCTGTTTTGTAGTTTGCCGTTGCTATTTACCGTTGCACTTCTTTCGTCTGTTATAATCCTTACACCTGTTGTCTTACTTGTGTTCATCATGTTTTGCAATTACTTTGGTAGTGCGGATGCTGTGCTTTATATACCTGCGGTAAGATCGTGAGCAGAAAGTTCTTAAAATTCAAATTTAATTTAATAGCCTTTATGTTTTGAGTTATCGTCGTTGGGCACTCCATCAGACGGCTGGCCCCAGCACAAAACGAATCGTATGTTTATGCCGAGATTCTAACCTAAACCACAAAGGGTCCCTAAGATTAGTCGGCAAACTAGTGGGCTATTTTAATTAGCCTAGCAGAAGTTAGATAATCCTTTTAGCATTTCCCCTGAAAATTCTATTCCATATTTTATGCGTAACAGTACATTTTTTGGTTTTATTTTTTTGACAGCTTTAGGTACTGCTACCGTTTAATAGGTCCTCAGGGTCACCTCTCTGGTATAGTATCAAGTACTTGCCCACATTAAATAATTTGGCTAAGATGGTTGCTTTTGGACTTAGTTTTTTTCCGACGGAATGGATGTTAACGATACTCCATAGTAACCATTTCTTAGTGCGGAAATTTGAACCAGGAACGGCCGCATGTTTATAGTTACCATGGCAACAGACACAGAGATGCATATTTATCATCGAAATTAGACCCTTTCACTATTATCATACGACTGGCTCTAAAACAACAATAGTTCGTATTTAATTATAGCGGCTTTATTCATGCCTAATGAATTTTAATTCGATGTCCCTTTTAGAGATCAAACTGCGCACAAGCTACCGGGTCGGTTAGTTAGAAATTTCTAGTGGACATTGGAAATTAAACCTTCGTTATATTACTGCGGCCAGTACAAGATATGAGGTGTGTGGGTCACACCAATTATACATTGTGTTTCTTCCGAATTTAGATGTATGAAAAAAGTTGGCAGTACAAGGGCAATCAGTTAACCGTTTTTCAAGGATGTTTAAAATTAAATATGTATATAGACTAAAATATACAGTGTAAAATGTAGTAGTATAGACCTGACAAGCTTATTTTTTTAATATTAGTCACCCCGTGGAAAAGTCACCAATTGTTGCAAAGACATCCTAAGCCAGACACCTATTTGTAGGTTCATTGCACGCACGTGCTAACCGGACTTCGTACAAGAACTACAAGACACAATATTCACCACACATATCTCACGCTCTTTTTGATTTTTCAAGTCGCTTTCACACAATTGTTGTACAGCCTACCTGTCGGGTATCAACAGCGTAAAAGCAGTGTAAAATTTTGGACAAACATTTTGATTCGGTGGGTTGCCTCTTACCTCTTGAACCCTTCATGCAGATGACGCGGTTCCTACGACACTTTTTTTCGTGCGTCCGACCGACCCTGATCGAGATTTACGAAAGGCGCATGAGCAAAAACTGAAAACCCGCCCAGTTGGGGACTATTATAGTCACCTTAACTACTCAAAGAACAGAAACTATAGTCCTATCTATTCCCCAGTTTTTATCCCTTCTTTTCCGGTTCTAAAATTAGTGGTGTGGATTAATCATTATTTCATTTCGATTTTATTAAACATCTTTGTTTAATATCGTGTTATAAATGTAGAATCATTGATAATTAAATATAGCTCGTGAAAAATATCGCGAGAACAAAGAATACTATAATTGGGGACCTTACGGTAATTATGCGGGTTTTTTTTATATGTCTCTCTAATAGCGACGAAAAAGCGACAAAAATTTCTTTTCTGATTTTCTGTGTAGGGTAACTGATTATGATAGGATGTTGCATAAGTACAGCAGTAAAGTCGCACAATAGAAGGCAGCAGATAGGTCTTCCAGTTTCTCGAAACTTGATTCAAAACATCAGTTCAGCTGAGTGAGCCATTCGATACATTAACTGTAGACCAAGCCTGCTACCCATGACGAGCCAGTTCCTGAAACCATATTAACGCGTGGAGTTTCCGATGATCTTCCTGAAAACATTTAAAAACCGGGTTGCATTTAAACTATTCTGCACCACTATACTAGCGTATGTCAGATCGCAACCGTAAAACCCCACTCCCATTTTGTGAAAATGTATCTGGGTGCGTGAGAACGTCCAGCCCAGGCCTTCACTAAACGCAGATGATTTTGATGACAAGTTTAGTTGATGCGGTGAATGCAGACCTTGGCCTGGCAGAAACCCACACACTGGGGCGTCCCGCCTCTCTAGTCTTATGGGACAGGATTACATAGATCCACGCCTATAGATCTAGGGTAGCTTGCTATATACTGCTTTAAATGGATCGATTTTGCCTTCTAGGGGCACAAAATAAGCACAGGCAATAAAACAGCGCAGTATGAAGGTGCCTGATATCTACAAGACAATTGACTCAAATTATTACTCTGCAGTATTAAACCTGCTCGTCAACGTGCATTGCAAGGGTTTCAGAACCCAGTTAATCTGTTCGATTAATATCATTAATTGGGCTTTGTCTAACCGGACTGTTTTTGTCGCTTTACAATTCATACGACCTCCGCCTTTTTCAGCTGCAGTTTAAAACTTTGCAGTTAGTCAAAGTAATAGTATAGCACTAGGAACACTGTGCCGTTCACGCGCCAATCGATCACCATACGCTCCACTATTATTCGAGGATCAATAAGCGCGGCTTTGAAAATTCTTCGCTCTTGTGGGTCTAGCACGACCAGCATATTCGATTCATAGTATTAGAGGCCTTATATTTTAATTTTTACAATAAGGAGGCACTTGGCTAACTCTGTGTGTCAAATGTATTATACGCTGTGCGTTCACGACTAGCAAAATCCCTGGACGCCTGCCGCAATACTTAACAAAAATACTTTCAAATCCTTAGACAGTCTAAAAACGTGTTCATAATGGATTTTTTGACTTGACATATGAAACACAAGTAATGAAAGGTCACAAGTAATAATAAATCCTCATGCTGCACCTATACTAACAATATGATTGAATGTGATGTAACATATGAGTAAACCCAGTGTCAGCTGTCTGGTTATAAGGAAGCCAGCCGCAAGTTTGGGTCCTCAAAACTCGTGTGTGCAAATCTTTATACTAATAGCCCTGTAGCTATTACACACAAACTTACGAAAAGCTCTACCCAAGATCGCCTCGAGTTCAAATTTCGGTTCCTTTATACGACTGGAAAAACCTCACCAATTCCATTTAATAAACGAAAAGGAAAAGATTTTTTTTAAGCTGCTCATTATCAACTTATTTTGACATTAGTGTTTGTTTTCGGTAAGAACAAAGCATGTACATTTTAATGAATAAGGATACATGCTTCTAGTGATGGTGGAATTATTCCTGCAAGAAAAAATGTTTTGGATCACTGCTATGCAAAACTACATCGACGACGCGTGCACGTTGCCACATCTGCACAACAAACAAGCACTCGAGGTTAGGAGCAACGGCAGGTACCGCTTGTTGCGTAAAAATTCAAAAATAACGTGGGTCGTCCCTGAAGACAATAAAACCTCGTATTTTTGTGTGCAGCTACAATTAACTACGAAGATTGTGAGATATGAATTACAAGCACTTGCAGCCTCGCTCGAAGTCACAATAAGGATAGTTCCAATGCGAATTAAGTAAATTAAGAATCTGTTTTCTGCTCGTTATTCTACGGCAAACAATAATCGTGCAGGCTAGCAAAATCTACACAGGTTTATACGAGCGCATAAAATATCAGAATTATCTTTGTTTTGAAAAGGCAAACATGCACGTCTTTTGCTCGCTCTCTATGCAGCCAGTGCCTACAGAGCCAAGTCTATGCGATATTCCAAAATATTTTCAGTTTTCTAGATTAATAACGTTTTACTCATATATGCTGTACATACACTAGATAAAGCAAAAATCTCTTGACAGCTAGAAAGTGTTACTCTCGTATCTGCTCAAGTAGCAAAATATACGCAGATGATTGCAATACTGTTCAGATTTGGCCGTACCACGCACTTGTAACATGGTCATCTCGACACAATTCCTATAAAATAAAATTAGCATGTGTTGACAATAGCTATAACGATAAATATTTTATTCATTTAAATTGTTTTATTTACTATCATCAGATTACCCTTTAGTATGCATATAAAATAACTATACGGAGATAACATTAGGGAGTACCCATTACAAATGTGCTACATAGTTAGGCGCAGCCATTAGCGCACCTTCTGGTACCTTATCCTTCAACAATTAAAAATTTTTTTAAAACTGCACGCAAAATTGTGCGGGTACTTGTTGTTACAGCCCCTACCAATAATCAAAAACTTTTCTGTCACTGTTGCTATATAAGGACGAAGTGTTGTTTGAATCAACAGAATCTGTGTGCCGGTATTATTGTTTCTTCACACAATTTGTGGCAAGAAGAGAGTATTGTCGAAGCCGAAAAACTATTTAATTCGAGAATGAACGAGATGATTAGCCAAGCTGCAAGGATAACGTCTGTTATGTGAAGAAAATCATCATTGGAACTACCATGTTTTAGCTCGAAAATTGCGCATCAGCTAATACGGTCACAGGAATAAAGAAAAATGTCTCGGATTGAGCAAAGTGTGTAGGTGTCGCATATTTACAGCGACGACACTGACAGTGTTGGGAATAATGGTACGATCTCGGCGCAGGAATCGCTCGAGAACTGTCAACGAGGATTCACCTTATGATTGAAGAGTTGGCAAAGACTAGTCGAGAGCGCGGGCGGCTCTAGACCGTATGTTGAAACACGTACGCGTGTAGCGCGGCGGAGTTTGGCGGCTTATACCAAGATTCAGTCTACCTGACATCATGGTCTTGCTCAAACAAGTAACATCTGTGGGTAATAATCCGTCGTCACTAAAATATATAGTGTGCAAATTGTAAGCTCAGGGAACGAGGCTTATTCACGCACAC